AATTGGGGAGGGGGGGGGGGTTACAAATGTTTACAAACAGAAATGGCGCTTAAGTGAACAAAGAGTCATAGACTGGTCGCTTACCTCCATGTGCCGTTGGGGACTTGGGTGTGGCCCGCACAAAACCCTCCTCTGTCACTGTGAAGCTCACGTCTGGACACTCCTCCGGATCGCTGTCTACTGTTATTACACCACAGCTCTCGCCCATACTCCCGGGTATCAAGGCTTTCGCTCCAGCCCCAGAACCGCCCACACTGAGAAAACTACGCCCACAAAGGACTTCGGAACATCCCACGTTGAGGTGTCCGCGCCTACAAGGGGCTTCTCTTTTCACAGAGTCAGCAGCAGCGCTTTTACCAACGAAAGTGGCGTTTCTCTTGTCAGAATCATCGGCGCTCTCACAAAGGTACGTGACACTATCACTTTTGTCTGACACAGCAGTGTTGACTCTAGTACCGACACTGACCACAGACGACGAGGCAGCCTCGTTCCTGCTCGGAACCTGCCCTTCTTCATAGCAGATTCTGACGTCGTCGCCGCCGCCGCAATCAGCCGGCAGCACAAACACAGGCACGGAGGTCACACCTTTTCCTTTCACTGTATACGTCACCTCAAAACGCTGAATCTGGCTCCCAGAACCTGCGTCTACTACAATCTGATTATCCTTGAGCGTCACACCGGGCGGCAGACTCAACACACTGGCCGTTCCATCGCTGTGGATGACGTTGACTGTAGCGTCTAAACACCGGGCATTATCAGAAGCGAAGGAGGAAACGTCCGAGACTCCTGGAGGAACTGGCCAAAAATGTGAAGGTGGGACATGGGCAGAGACAGGCAGAGCCTGTTGCATACTAGGGACATCAGCCACACATCCCGCGGCGGAATGAGGCGCTGTCTTTTGATTCACAGCTTCATATGAAGTCAAATGTGACATATCGCTACACTGTATCACTTCCGAACTTGGCTTCTGCTCGACCTGGAGCGAGTCAAGAACAATTACGTCACTTTCTGGGGTTTTTGGGCCTTTGTGAACAGAAAGCACTTCCCGGGGTGGCGCCTGTACAACCAAATCGTCCCACTTTACATATTGCACATCATGATTATGAGTTTTCATAGGGTCACCCGTTTCTTGTAAATGCGGGTAATTAAAAGACTGAAGGGGTGAGGCCGGGACTGTGTCCGGGCTACGGGGAAGCGACTCGCTACTCAGACTTTGCCGCTTGAGAAACAGCAACTTTTCCAGTTCGACGTCCTGAGAGTTTTGTTGGAGCGAAAGACAAGTCAAAGCCGTTGAGCGGAGCACGTCTTTTGTCGTGTAGGAGAAAGGGGATTGTCGAGAAGCAAGAGGTAAATGCGCTCGAGGAGCAGTCCGGTCACCAAAATATGACTCGGACTCTGATAGACTTTGGCCTTGTCTGTGTTCCCGAAGAGCGGTATCAGATTGAGGTAAGAATTTACACTTTTTGGCTGCGTCAGGAAAAGTCATAGAAGAGGGACATTTTAAAGATTTTGGCCGTTCTGGTCCGCCTTTCACCCTCTTGAACTTTTGACGGGCGAATGAAGATGGCAGGAGACTTGAATCATCCATGGCGTCTATGGTTCCGGAACTTGAAGAACGTAAGCTAGACGAACAAGACGCGGGCGAAGACGATGACGACACAGGCAGTTGGTCAAATAAATAAGTAGGTGCGATCAAAGGCACTTTACTCAAAGGCGACATCCCTGGCAGTATGACGATCTCGTTCTCTGGGCTGGTCGAAACCGACGAAGAGGCGCTACTGTCGGACATTGCGGTCAAATCCACGTCACAGACGCTGTCCGGCCGGGGCGCATCCACAATTAGATGTCTACCTCCGACGCCGAGGTCAAGCCTGAACCCGGCATTTCTTTTCTTCATTGTTCAAGCTTAAATTGCAGAACTACTCTTAACTGTCTTCGTCTACAATAAAGAAGTAGGCAATTGATTCTTGCTCCTGCAAGTATGAGCTGGGAGACGTCTCTTATGACTCTTAGTTGCTGTTGGGTGTCTTTTTTTAAACCATCAAAGACTGTCAAGCCATTTCATATCTTACACATTATAAACGCACACTTAGGTTTCTTCACATGAGAAAAAGAAAAATATCCGGTAGCGTGATTACTTTTGGCTGTCAATTAGCTAGATCTTCCTACACAAGATAAACGCCATCATGATGGTAGGAGGAGTGGCGGGGCTATGCAGCCATTTCACACTCATATATCAAACACGTCAAGCGTTCACGGTTCACAACCAAAGTTCCCGTACACATACTCCAGTTCTCAGGTACGTCTGACAGTTGCTGTTAGGTGTGTTACGACATCAGACGAAGCATTAGGCCTCGGGATCAGAACCTACCACTAGCACATGAAAATGTTGATCATCATTACACGTACATGTACAATTATTACCCCCCCCCCCCCCCA